CCCATCGGTGAGACCCTCAGCGCCGGGAGGGGACAACGGGGGGACCCCAATCCCCTCCCCGTACCCGTCTCCACGTCCTGCACGTAGAAGTGGAGATCATCCGTGATCTCCGTCACGAAGACGGGTTTGTAGTTGGCCGTGCGCTCCTTCTCCTCCAGCACCGTCACCACCTCCTCCACCGGGGTCTCCTCGTAGTGGGACCACACCTGGGGTTGGGGGAGGACACACACATGGGTCGGGGGACGCCCGTGGCCATGCTTGATGCCACCGGCAAGGGGCTGGTGGTTGTGCTGGCACCCAGCAGCCGGAGCGTCCTTGGTCCCCAGCACCATGGATCCCATACGCGTTGAGGTGGGGACATCTCTTGGCGTGGGGACATCTCTTGGCGTGGGGACATCCCTTGGGGTAGGGACATCTCTTGGGGTGAGGAGATCTCTTGGGGTGGGGAGACCTCTTGGGGTGGGGACATCCCTTGGAGTGGGGGGATACCCCTTGGTGTGGGGACACCTCTTGGCGTGGGGACACCTCTTGCCGTGGGGACATCCGTTGGTGTGGGAATATCTCTTGGGGTGGGGACACCCCTTGGGGTGGGAACATCTCTTGGGGTGGGAACATCGCTTGGAGTGGGGACACCTCTTGGTGTGGGGACATCCCTTGGGGTGGGGGTATCTCTTGACATGGGGACATGTCTTGGTGTGGGGACATCCCTCGGGGTAGGGACATCCCTTGGCATGGGGACATCTCTTGGTGTCAGGACAGCTCTCAGCATGGGGCCATCCCTCTGGGTAGGGACATCCCTTGGGGTGGGGACATCTCTTGGCATAGGGATATATCTCAGTGTGGGGACATGCCTTGGGGTGAGGACATCCCTTGGTGTGAAGACATCCCTTGGGGTGGGGACATATCTTGGCATGGGGACATATCTTGGGGTGGGGACATCCCTTGGTGTGGGGACATCTCCTGGTGTCAGGTCACCCCTTGGTGTGGGGACATCCCTTGGCCTGGGGACATCCCATGGGGTGGGGACATCTCCTGGTGTCAGGTCACCCCTTGGTGTGGGGACATCCCTTGGCCTGGGGACATCCCATGGGGTGGGGACATCTCCTGGTGTCAGGTCACCCCTTGGTGTGGGGACATCCCTTGGCCTGGGGACATCCCATGGGGTGGGGACATGCCTTGGGCTGAGGACAGCCCTTGGCGTGGGGACATCTCTTGGTGTCGGGTCTTCCCTTAGTGTGGGGACATGTCTTGGGGTGGGGATATCTATTGGCATGAGAACATCCCTTGGGGTGGTGACATCTCTTGGCATGGGGACATCTCTTGGTGTCGGGTCATCCCTTGAGGTGGGGGTATCTCTTGACATGAGGACATCCCTTGGCATGGGGACATCGCTCGACTTGAGGACATCTCTTGGGGTGGAGACATGTTTTGGCGTGGGGATATCTCTTGGCATGGGAACATCCCTTGGTGTGGTGACATCCCTTGGCATAGGGACATCTCTTGGTGTTGGGTCATCCCTTGGGGTGGGGACATCTCTCAACATGAGGACATGTTTTGGGGTGGGGACATGTTTTGGGGTGGGGCTATCTCTTGGCATGGGGACATCTCTTGGCGTGGGGACATCTCTTGGTGTCGGGTCATCCCTTGAGGTGGGGGTATCTCTCGAGATGAGGACATCCCTTGGGGTGGGGACATCTCTCGACATGAGGACATCTCTTTGGGTGGGGACATGTTGTGGGGTGGGGACATGCCTTGGGCTGAGGACAGCCCTTGGCGTGGGGACATCTCTTGGTGTTGGGTCTTCCCTTGGCGTGGGGACATCTCTCGACATGAGGACATCTCTTGGGTTGGGGACATGTTTTGGGGTGGGGATATCTCTTGGCATGAGAACATCCCTTGGGGTGGTGACATCTCTTGGCATGGGGACATCTCTTGGTGTCGGGTCATCCCTTGGGGTGGGGGTATCTCTTGGCATGGGGACATCCCTTGGGGTGGGGACATCTCTGGACATGAGGACATCCCTTGGGGTGGGGACATGCCTTGGCATGGGGACATCTCTTGGGGTGGAGACATCCCTTGGCACGAGGACATCCTTTGGGGTGACAACTTTCCCTGCAGCGCAGGCGGCCCGGGCGCTGTGAAACACGCGCGCCATGCGACAAGAAACACCTTGGGCAGACAGCAGGTCTGGAGCAGCCATCCCATCCCACTCCATCCCATCCCATCCCATCCCATCCCATCCCATCCCATCCCATCCCATCCCATCTCATCCCATCTCATCCCATCCCATCCCATCCCATCCCATCCCATCCCATCCCACCACCTGTCCCCCATCCCGGCCACCGGGTCCCCCCTCAAGGGCTCGGTGTCACCTCGGCGTCACTCCACGCTTTGGCAAGGTGGAAAATCAACGGTTGGGTATGATGGGGTTTGAGCGGGACGGGTGGACGGGTGCCGGGCATGTGGCCAAGAGCCACTGGGGCAACCAGATCTGCTCTGTGGCCACCCAGATCTGCTCCAGGGCACCTAG